CCCGCGCTCCACCGGCAGCGGCGGCTGCTGCATCACGGAGAGAGATGAATATTTATGGGCGTTTAAAAATAGCTGCTGCATTGTGCTTCCCCCTCACGTGCGGAGCCAGCGGGGTGCGGGGAAGCTGCTAAATTAGATGTCACCGCGCAGAGAGCTGCTCAGTCAGGCAGGAGCAGGATAAAAATAGAGCCTGCTGTGCGTGCGTGGATCTCCTGCAAAGCAGGAGCGGATCCCGTGGGATCCCCCGCCTCCGCACCGGCATCCCCGCACCGCGCCCTGCCAAGAGGGCACCGCAGAGGAGCCGGGCGGGGACACCGCGGTTCTAGCGGGTGGCAATCAGTGGCCTTTCATCTGCTTTACCCCGAATCTGCGTCTCTCCGTGCCCAAAGCCCTCTGGAGGCAGACATTGCTGAGCTCTGGCTCCGGCAGTGACCCCGTGCCCTGCCGGCAGCACGGTGCCAGTGTGTGGCACCCTGGCAGCCCGCGGGGGCTCCGTGCTCTCGCCGTGCCCTGTCAGGATGGATGCAGACAGGGTCAGGACACACAGCTCAGAGTGGGCACTCAGGGAACCTCGACATCGCTGGGACTCCACCTGGGCCAACACCAAAACCCAGCGTGGGCTGTGCCGAGCACAGCGGCTGTGCCAGCTCGGGGGGCACAGAATGGCACCGACAGAGCCGCGGGCAGCCGGGAGCACCTGGCTCGGGCTTCGCACACCGCCAGGGGCTCTGGGCAGGGGGTTTGCAGCCCAAAGCGTCTCCGATGCTGCCCCTATGCTGCTGGAAGAGCCGGCAGCAGGCACACACAGAGCCCTGCACAGATGGCTGCGGCACCCGTGGGCCGTGCCAGCCCCACGCGATGAGCTTTGATGGTTGTGCAAACAAAAGCGGAGCCAGATGGTCTCCCCCGCGCTCCAGCGCTGGAATCCTGCGCTCGCTCCCAGCGCCGACCTTGGCTGGGTGTCCTGCAGCGCTGCCGGCCTGCCCGGGCTGCCTGCACAATGCTGCCGCTGGCATTTTCATGCTATCACGGCATCAGAGTAGTTTGGGTGGGAAGGAACTTTAAAAACCACCCAGTCCCATCCCATGCCATGGGCAGGGACACATTCCAGCCCCCCAGATCGCTCCAAGCCCTGTCCAACCCGGCCTCGCACGCCTCCA